TAAACAGAGCAAGGGAAGAAACGGACTCTCTCCCCTCCTGGAAACCTGGTGTGCCCTTAACCTTGGCGGGATACAGTCCCATTGCCTACATTCCTTTGACCTCCGGTCCCCGCCCCCGAGGGAAAACTCACCTTGGAGGAAGGGGTGGAGAGGAGGCAGGCCCAGCCCTCACCACTGTGTGTTTCCTCTCCATTTTCCAGTTCCTTCCCATACGTGAGGTATGAAAATAATATCTTTCCCCCGTCATCTGAGCTCAATATCTTATCCACAGGTCCCTTCCTGTTTGCAGCCACCCCCACCCTGTACACTATACTTACTGATTCCAGTATGTTCTGATTGGCCTTGTATTAACTGCCTCTTTTAAAAAAATTTTCATTTATTTATTAGAGAGAGAGTGTGTGTGTGTGCACGAGCAGGGGAGGGGCAGAGAGAGGGGGAGAAAGAAGACCCAAAGTTGGCTCTGCGCTGAGAGGGGAGAGCCCGATGTGGGGCTTGAACTCACGAGCGACAGGATCAAGACCTGAGTGGACGCTGGACGCCCAACCGACTGAGCCACCCAGGTGCCCCTGCTCTGTCTTTTCTTCTTGCATTCTGATGCGTTGACATTCGGGGCCTTGGCGGCCCCAGGGAGACTGCCCCTCCTGGGTTAGCCAGTTCCTGGAGATCGTCAACAACTCACCTGCAAGCACACTTCTCAGAAACAAACCGATCAATCCAGGGCCCACACCCCCAACGCCCGCCCTAGTGGGCTCTCATGCTCCAGGCCGCTATCCACCAGCCATGATCAACCCAGGGCCAGGTGCCCGGCAACTTGGGGCAGACCCTACACCCCCCAGTCTGCTGAAGTTATTCAAACCAGCTCCCTAAGCTGCTTTCCCTGCCTCCCCCATTCTTCCCCACAGAGACCACAGTGAAGGCTCTTACCCACAATTCCCCTCACCCCCCCTGCCCCCCGGACCCGACTCCTGCTTCTCCGAGTGCTCACCACCATGGTGTGGTGTCTCCTTCTCTTGGGAACTCTGAGGAAGTAACTTTATAGTGGCAACCATCTCCTGACTCGCTGACCTTACTACACCTCAAATTTCCTGCTAATACGTTATATTTTATTTATTTAAAAAATTCTTAATATTTATTTATTTTTGAGAGATAAAAGAGGAAGTGCTTGTGGGGGAGGGGCAGACAGCAAGGGTGCACATAGCCTGACAAGGGGCTCGAACCCATGAACCATGAGATCATGACCTGAGCTTAAGTCAGAGACTTAACTGACTGAGCCACCCAGGCGCCCCTATACACTCTATTTTATTTTATTTTTTTAAAATGTTTTTATTTATTTCTAGGAGAGAGAGAGACAGAGACAGCGTGAGTAGGGGAGGGTCAGAGAGAGAGGGAGTCACAGACTGAAACAGGCTCCAGGCTCTGAGCTGGCAGTCAGCACAGAGCCCGACGCGGGGCTCGAACCCAGGAACCGCGAGATCATGACCTAAGAGAAAGTCGGACGCTTAACCGACTAAGCCACCCAGGCGTCCCATACACTCTATTTTAAAACATCCCTTTAGAGTGTAAGGAAAATCAGTGCATTACTTGTTTGGGGGCAACTCAGATTCTGTACTCTCACTGCTCGGTATTTCAACTTTTATTTTTGCAACATTTAAAAATTCTTGATTTAAGGGGCACCTGGGTGGCTCAGTCGGTTAAGCGTCTGCCTCTGGCCCAGGTCGTGATCTCACAGCTCAGGAGTTGAAGCCCTCTGTGGGGATCTGTGCTGACAGCTCAGAGACTGGAGCCTGCTGTGGATTCTGTGTCTCCCTCTCTCTCTCTCTGCCTCTCCACCACTCGCATTCTGTCTCTCTCGCTCTCAAAAATAAAAAAGCATTTAAAAAAAACTCTCTTGAGTTAAATCGCTGATTCATTCAACAAACACTTATTGATGCCTTGTGTGTACCAGATACTGTGAAAGGGTCTGGGGAGAAAAGGATAAATCAGCCTTGCTCTCAGGCAGGCTCGCGGTAGAAGAGGGAATCAAGAAGAATATTTAAGAGAAAAAGGAATAAATGACTGTCTTCTCTGACTTCATAAGCTGGAGTGCTGGGTCCCCTGGTGTGTTCCCTTCATAAAACCATTTGTCAGTTCTGGAGGGCCTGAAATTAGAATAAACTGGTTTGTCTTGTTCTGTTCCATTTTTTTATATGACAGACTATTGAGATCGGGCCTCTAAAAGATTGTTCAGTTTTTCCTAGTTATTATCGACTAGACTTCATGGAGCTTCCTTTGGAACATCATCACAAAAACATGGCCTGCTATCCCTTAGAACAGCCGAGGACACTATTGTTTTGGGGACAGAAAATAAATATAACATTAATAATAACGGCAAACACTTAGTGAGCTCTTAATATATGCCATGCATTATACGTGGTGTATGCATCATTTTATTTAATGATGTAACATGTAGGTGACCATCCTTATTTTACAGACGAAGAAAGTGACACACGGGGTGAAAAATCGGCTAAGTGCAGCGCGACTAATAAAAGGTAGCACCGGGATTTGAATCCATGCAATTACTCCAAAGCCCACTTGTTTACTAACTCATTCCTCAAGTGAGCTGAGAAACGGTACCACTTTCTAAAGACACATTGCTTGGACCTGTTCTTAAACTCCATGAAAGACTTTGGCCCCATCCAAAAAACTTCATCCCGGGAGAAAGCCTCCCCATTTGGAATTCTGCTACTAAAGGTAAGATACTTGAGTCCACCACAATCTTTCTTCTAAGAGCGTCTTAGAATCCGTTTCTCAACTTGCTCCGCTGGCCATCACCCACAGCGGTCTAGCCAGCCATCCAGTAAAATGAGCTACTAAAAAAACAACTCCAGTATAGTTTCTCTCCAAATCCACTCCGTAAAAAGAGTGGCTAGCTTTAATAACTGCATTTTAGGACTCAAGCTGTTAAGAGAGTGAGTTCTCTGCTTTCTTGTTAGTGAATCTTTCCCAAGGAATTGTCAAAATCTGGTTGACAAAGACTGCCTGCCTCAGCTGTAATTATTCCTTCCATTTCCATTAGTCAGGTCTAATCATCTCATAGAGGTCACCTCTAGACTCTATTTACTGCTTTCAGAGAAGGCTGTTCCTCTGGGTAAAATAATTACGTCCTCATAGGCCAGGCACCAGGTTACCTGGGAGAGTCAGCAGCCTCAACGGCCTCGAGCCTCCAATATTTCTTCCCTGAACACATATCTGTGGGAAAGGAATTCATAGGACACAGAGTAATGTGTAAATTTCAAATCTGTTCCTTTGTTTCTCCATGTGTATGGCGAGGCGCCTGGGTGGCTCGGTCAGTGAGGCGTCTCACTCTTGATTTCTGCTCAGGTCATGATCTCAAGGCTGGGGAGTCTGAGACCCACGCCGGGGCTCAGTGATGACTGTCTGGAGCCTGCCTGGGATTCTCTTTCTCTCTCTGTGCCCTTCCCCTGTGCTCTCTCTCTCTCCTCTCTCAAAAATAACAAAATCACCAACATTAAAAAAAAATTACCATCACTGACAAATTGAACACTTTTTTGGCACCTTGAGTTTCAAGATTCCCAGGAGAAACACTGAAAGCTACTTCCTTTAGCCTCCTGCCGTCTAGGAGTTGCTGAGTAAGGCTTCTGATCTCTTGCCAAGACTCAAGCTAAGCCACTAGTCAAACAGTATTTAATACTGCTTTTTTAAAGACCCAAGCTTCCCCATCCCAGCCCAGAGTAAAGGGAGAAGACACATTGGACGGTTTTCTTTTATACCACAACAAGCATTTATCGAGCGCCTACTGTGTGCCTGAGTCTGTTCTAAGGCTTTGGAGGTATAGCAGTGAATTTGTATTCTGCTTGTCACTGACGAGCAGGTCGGAGCTTGAGAGTTATTCGAACTTCTGGAAATTCTTATCGACGGAGCCAAATCACAACAGCAGAGCATTTTCAACTGTACTCAGAATCTCAGAAGTGAGGGTGGGAAGAAAAAAAGCCCCAGGAGTCTTTGGAGGCTTGCAGCTCTCTGGGGCTCTGTTCCCTACCCTTACTAGAATGGTGTGCTCAGTGAGACCGCGCCATTCACATCTACATGCAAAGTTTGGTGCTCCCGGGTGCACATTTTCTGGGGCCAGTTTCTATAGGTTTCCTTGGATTCTCAAAAAGGGCCAGGATCCTAGAAGGATTAGAAGTATTTGCGAGCATGGGGTGCCTGGGTGGCTTAGTCGGTTAAGCGGCCGACTTTCGCTTAGGTCATGATCTCGCGGTTCCTGGGTTCGAGCCCCGCGTCGGGCTCTGTGCTGACTGCCAGCTCAGAGCCTGGAGCCTGTTTCAGAGTCTGTGACTCCCTCTCTCTCTGACCCTCCCCTGCTCACGCTGTCTCTCTCTTCTAGAAATAAATAAAACATTTAAAAAAAATTAAAAAAAAAAAAAAAAAAGAAGTATTTGCGAGCCCACAGCTCCAGGAACCTAGGGACTGGAAGCTCTTTTGGAACCATAAAGTAGAGCAAGCCCGAAGAGCCCCCCCACCCCCGCACCGGGGCAGCCCCCGCACAGCCCTGCCCGCGCCTCTGCACCGGCCGGCAGCCATCGGCAGGTGCGTCTGGGGGGCGGCCCGCCGCCGGGGTGGGGGGGGATGTCGAGAGAGCCGGGCAGGCCTGCAAGGCAGGAGACAGGGCTTCCTGTCCCGCTCCGCCCCGGGGTAGGCGCATCGCGCGCCCCGGCCCTCGCTGTGGACACGACACCCCTAACTTTCGGCCAAGTTCTCAGGGCGCGGCCCCCCGGGGCTTCCAAGTTCTCTGCGCGCAAGAAAGACGCAACGTGGGCCCGTCCGGGCCGGGGGAGGCAGCCGGCGTCTCCCCTCACGGCGAGCCGCGGGGCGCACACCTGCGGGGGAGACCCAGGGGGCGCACCCCGCACTTGCACGCGCGCCGCCCCCCCCCCCCACGCACACCGTGCTCCCGCGCGCGCTCCGCCCCAACTTCCCGGCGGGACTGGGTACTTCACCGTCGGTCACCGTCGCGTCCGCCTCCTCCCCCGCCGGGTGCACGTCCAGCCGCAGGCACTTCGGGCTGGGGGGCGACAGCGGCCCCGCCCCGAAGAGCTGCTCCTCGGTCACGAAGCGCAGCTGCACGCGGAACTGCAGGCGCGCCGGGCCCCGGGCCATGGTGCGAGCGCCTCCGCCCGAGCCCCGGCGCCGCGCGCTCCGCCCGCCCCGCGCCCCGAGGAGCTGCCGGGGGAAGGGGAGGGACTTGGAAGCGCCAGCCGCCCTCCTCACCTCCGCGCGCCGCCGGGCGTCGACCTCCGGCGGCCCGCTGGCTCCGGCCGCCACCTGCCGCCCCGGGTGCCCGCACCCCCGCCGGGAGCTCGCTGGGCCGCGGCGACCCCTCCCCCCCCCGCCTCGCGGGCGCGGCGCAGGTGCGCGCGGCCACCCCGCCCGGCCGCGGCTCCAGCCCGCGAGTTTGCGGAGGGCGCGAGGCACCTGGAGGCGCCGGGGGTTTGGAAGCAGAAGGGTGACACCTGCTGTTCACTGGGTCCGCTCTGCGGGCGTGGGCGTCGGTTTGGAGATGGCCTTGGCCGGGGCTTTCTGCTGGGTGCGCCTTCGCCCTCGGGGGCGTTCCGGGGTTCCCAGTCCCACCGAGGGGCGGCCGTCGCAAGTGCAAACAGCAGCGCAGCAGCGGGGGTGGGGGTGGGGGATGGGGGGCCCAAGACGCCCGTTCCTGCAACCGGCTGGCCTCAAATGACCACGTTCCTCTCCCATCATTTGGAATTGCTCTGCTCGGTGGTGAACCATTTCCCTCCCTAGCTGCGGGTCGGGAGGGCCTGGGCCCAAGTTGACACCTGACTCCAGCAGCTACCCAACCTGGCCAGTTGGCTCCAGCGTCAAAGGACGGGGACCCCACCCCCTGGGGAGCCGCAGCACACGTTAGTCTTGTGGGACAGAAACTGGCCTGCTGCTGCAGGAAATTAAGAAAAGGAAGCAGTCTTTTTTTTTTTTTTTTTTTTTAACCAGAGTCTCCCGCAGCCATAGACTCATGTGCCATAAAGGGCACTTTTCTTCATATTCGGAACCAACATCTGTGTGTCCTTGGTCTGTGACCCCTGGCAGAATGGACTGCAGGGAGGAAGCAAATCCTGTAAATGGCTGTAAATCCATTGGGATTCCGTGAAGCCAATGTCCTTAACTAAGCAGGCTGACTTGATAGGAATGAGCTTCCCTAGAGGCCCCTGGGGTCTCTTTCCTGAGAAACCCGGCCAGGCTCTGGGAAGCCCGTGGTCTCAGGGCCTTCCCCACCCTCACCCTCAGCCGCCTGCACCCCTCACTGTGGTCCTGCTTCCCGACATCGCCTCTCTGGCTCCAGCTTGTTCTCGAAAGAGGTTTCTCTTCCCTCCTTCTCCGTCTCCTCTCATCATCTAAGCACCGTGCTCTTCTTTCTGTCCTCATTTCCACTTCCTGTGGCCTCACGCTTTGATTTGTGCCCTGGAAGCCCGTGGGGAGCAGATATCCAGAGAGTTGGAGCTGTGGAGAGGGTTCCCGGTGTGGGAGCCACAGAACCCCTGCTCACTGCCCTCCCCCCGCCCCCCACCTCACCAGGCTGCCCCCACAAGCTTCCCGCCTCCTCAGAGCACGGCCCTGCCTTCCCTGGCCCTTTGCCTTATGAATCACTGCGTGGATGGCGCTGAAGACCCCCTATAGTAGCTCTTGAACCTCTTTATCCTCCTGTCAAAACAGCTTGTTCATGGGCATGGAGGGGGGCACTTGTGGGGATGAGCACTGGGTGTTATATGGAAACCAACTTGACAATAAACTATTTGTAAAAAAAAAAAAAAAAAAGTTGTTCAGCCTTCACATGCTGTCTGCTGCTAAATGGAAAGTAGGCCTGGGGAGGGGTATCTGATTGATACCAAAAGTGAAAGGTGGGGGTGCCTGGGTGGCTCAGTATGTCGAGCCGCTGGCTTTGAGCTCAGGTTTGTGAGTTCGAGCCCCGTGCCATGCTCTCTGCTGTCAAATGCAGAGCCCATTTTGGATCCCCTGTGCCTCTCTCTCTGCCCCTCCCCCATACCTCTTCTCGTTTGCTCTCAAAAATAAACATTAAAAAAAGTGAATGGTGGATGGAAATGACTCATAAAGCATCTCGAGGGGTGGCCGGCCGGCCCAGTCAGTACTGTGTGTGCTCCTGATCTCCAGGTTCTGAGTTAGAGCCCCACATTGGGTGTAGAGATTGCTTACCAAAAAGAAAGCACTTCTAAAAGGGCACTATCTTGACCTTAGTAGAATTGCCACCATACCCTCGAGAAACCTGGAGTTCTGTGACTTAAAACAAACAAAAACCATAATGGCAGTCTTTCCTCCAAATTAATACAGGGGCAGAAACACGTGACTTCAGCTACTTGAGAGCAAAATATCAAAATATTATGATTCACGGCAAAACTGGGAAATCTAAGCTTTGGTCATGACTAGATTTAGGGACTCAATTAAGGTTACCATATGGTCTCGCCTCCCATCTTACAGAAAGGTCTTAGTCATCTCCTGGAAACAGCCACCGATTTACTCTATTTCAGCAAAGGCAAGGCCCCTCCTTCTCTCACTCCAAATCAGCTTGGGTCACTGGAAAATAACTGACTTGCTGTGATGGGTCTACTCAACCGAGGCTTGGACCAGGGAGCCCGGGGGCCTACCCGAATTTGTGTCATCTGAATGAGGGAGGAGCAGACACGCACAGGAAAAAGGTAGCGGGGGTAAGGGCGATGGCATCTCACAGAGCTCACCAGAAGCCCGGCGCTGTCCTAAGCGTATCATGTGAATTAATTCACTGACTCTTCCCCCGCCACCCTGAGAGACAGATACTGTGATTACCCTCATTTTTACTGATGAGGAAACTGAGGCACAAAAGAGCACCTCACTCTCCCGAACTCCCAGCTGAGAAGCTGCAGAGGCCCAACAGTTCAGACACAAAATTAAGTTTCGAATAGCCCGTAGGTTTCAAATGGCCCTTACTACCTTTTTTCAAAGCTGGAGGCCAGGAGCCTAATTTCTTAGCATTCCAAATGGACGCAGCGCAAGCCCCCCGAACTGTGGGCACGGAAATAAGTACTCTCCCCTCTTTCTTGTCTTCCCAGGCTCTCGAAGCCGGGTCCGAATTCCTTAGACTTCCCTCCTCTAGAATGTCTCACTTTCCAGGGCTTGTATTCACACTTGGGCGTTACTTGCCCAGCTCCGAGCACTCGAGAAGGGGAGTCAGTGCTTCTTACCCACGTGGTGAACACAAGGCGGATTCACTCACACCATCTATGTGAACCACTGCGGCTTTCGACCTTCTACCTTTAGTTTATCCCAAGCTTCTGTTTTCTAACAGCCGGCACTGTCGTCCTTCATTTCTGTCACCGGCATTTCCTTCTCAGGGCCACCAAAGCGTTTTACGTCAGTTGGGAGAGTGGCGGAGAAGCCAGCACTCCTCTGTGCAGCGGAGCGTCCCTGGAGGCCGGCTGGGCAGCTTCCCCGCTGAGGCTCCCGTCTCTGGTCGCCTCCACGTGTGCCCCGGGGACCGTTTGCCAGCGGGCTGTAGGGCCTGAACGGAGGTCAGAGGATCAAACAAGGAAACCACGGCCGTGATGCAGATTCTCCCTCTCGTATATCCTCCGGAAAGGGCAACTCCTCTTGGAAGTGAGAGGACCCCCTGGTAACGCGATTTCCCCATGACCACCCCACCTCCATTTCCGCCTCCTGATCGACTCTGTTGTCAGTACCGCATCCAACGCACTGGCTTTTTTCCATGAATATAATCTGTCCGAAGCTTTGAGAGATTATTCCTACGCTCTTCTTTCTCCCAAGTTTCCAAGAACACTGGGAAAGCGACCTCTGGCCAACCTCCCCTGCACGGGCCTGTGACAGCAAGCTCAGCATCCAGAGGGACCTCATCAGACAAGTGCTGAGCTGAGAGACAGCAAAGAAATCCAGAACTGGGTGCATTCCTGGAGGTCAGACGATCTTTCCGTGAGCATATGCCCCTTTGTCTATCTCTTGCCTTCCACAAGGCCCAGCCCAATTTGTTAACGGGCTGTGATTCCGTAACTTGAAGTCTAGACCAGGCTCTTCAACCCCCCATGAGCTCTTACTCGTACCTACTGACAGATCCCACCTCCTGGTCCACATGTTGCTTCAAAGAAACTCATGCCAGGGTGCCTCCTGCCTCCTTCCCCTCATTTCAAAGTATACTATCTTCAGCAATATGGCAGCCACACTTAACATGGTGTTCCACAAAACTATCTGCACCTCAGCCAAATAATTTAGAAATAAATTTCTACATGTCACGAGCCTTCGTATGTCCTACACGAGGAGTTAAAACAGAATATAATAATCTGCACAAGATCTAGCCCATTAAACACTGGGAGTCAAACTCTTATTTGAAGGACCTCTGGGTGGTTTAGCCCATTAAGTGTCCGACTCTTGATTTCAGCTCAGGTCGTGATCTCACGGTTTTTGGGTTCAAGTCCCACATCAGGCTCTGTGCTGGCCTCGTGGAGGAGCCTGCTTCAGATTCTGTCTCCCTCTCTCTCTCTCTCAACCCCTCCAGTTCTTTTACTTTAAAGAGTGGTTTTTTTGTAGCCTATGTAGTAGCACATTGTTGACATTTTATGTTCAAGTTATTGGTGATTTTGCTGTTTAAAATAGTCCCCAAGGGGCACCTAGGTGGCTCAGTCAGTTGAGCGTCCGACTTCGGCTCAGGTCATGGTCTCATGATTTGTGGGTTCGAGCCCTGCGTCAGGCTCTGTGCTGACAGCTCACAGCCTGGAGCCTGCTTCAGATTCTGTGTCTCCCTCTCTCCCTCCCCCTTCCCTGCTCGTGTTCTGTCTCCCTCTGTCTCCCAGCAAGAAACAAAATGTTAAAATTTTTTAAATAAAAATAAATGCCCTGCAAAATACAGGAAAGACTGATTTCATTATGAAAGATGTTAAACATTATGGAGAAAGATCAGAAAAATGTTCATCTTCTTCCTTGGAAGACAAACTATATGGAGACAGAGGGGGAGGGAAAGATGGAATGATCCAACAATTACTCTCTACACCAATGGGCTTCACGCCACAGTATGTGAAGACACAATATGGAGGATTTTAAGGGAATGAATTTCCAGATCTACTTCCAAAAGTACTTTTCCTAAAATGGGTCTTCCTGAGAAATATGCATAATAATAAAGATATTCGTTTTATTAAGGAAAGGTGCATCTCTCCTTCAGCCTCATCTTACTAGGACTAACTGCCATGGAGTATA